CAATGTGCGTTATGTAAGGAGCACAGACTGAAATAGAAAGTTGTAACATTTTTGCTGAGATGTTATCAATTCCTAATGCGTTTGATTTTAATTCCAAAACTATTGACCTAATTTCATTTACTGTTGCAAGTTTAAAAGAGAAATTAATGCCAGGATTAAATAGATTTGAGTTATAATAAGATGTAGTGTAAGGACAACAATTTCTCTGACTGAATACCGACGTAAAATACTTGTTTATATCAGTAGGGTCACTTAAGCCATCAGGAATATGGAATGTAGTTTTATTTGAAATATTCAAGGATTTCATTGCTTTCCAAAGGTCTTTTTTGTTTTGCATGCTTGCACGATAATTTAAATAAGCTGATTTGTCTTTCCTAATTGCACTAGTAACGATATTCCGCATTTCTTTGTAATGAATGAAGTCTAATATATTTTGGGATTTTTTATATTTAGAAAGTGCTTTATCTCGTGTTTTCATCATGTCCCGGATTGTAGGTGTCAACCAATGAGCATACGGTTTAGTAATTTTGGCTTCTACATAAGGAGTCTAATTAGAATAATTAGAATAGCAGAAATTAGTACGCAACTGCTGGCACAAATTTTGTTTATATTTTATATTATTTCATATATTATATTATCGCTTATCGTCCGTAGCCGGCTTTACTATACGGAGAATGGTCGCACTGCGCAGCTTTCTGAGTGCCTTTTAAAAGGAGATAGAACACTCCGCCATTTTGAACCCTTATTACGTGTTGCCTATATCTTGGCGCAATATTTTTAATAGGTGCGTTTTAATCATCCGCTTCTGCTTCGGAATTGTCGGTTTTCTTGTTTTAATCTGACAGGTTAAAACGACTAAACCGACAATTCCGGAAGCAGAAGCGGATGATTAAAACGCACCTGACATTTTGCTTGCTGCTGTCAGTGTCAGTGAATATTATTTTTGGAGTCACAGTTTATTGCTCACTCGGACCAGTTGAAAGTTCCAAAATAACATCTACTCTAGGGATACAAATTCAGGATACGCAGAAGACTGCTGTTTTATTATGGACGGTTGTCATATATTGTATTATCCGAGTTGCGCAGTGTATAAACTGGAACATTGAGATCAAAAGTGCCGACGCAGAGTGAGCGATCTGATTCTTTATCTATAAACTGTGTCATAGGAATCAAAACGGCCGCGCCCTATGTTGGGCGTGTCGGACCTCTCTCTTGCCCCGTATAGTCATCAAAGTATGTGGTTCTTGACGGGTAATGACATTTCTGGACATTTCTGCAATATTCTCTTCTTTTACTTGTACTTTTACTTATGACGACCGCAGCATACTGTAGAGTGAGGAGTAGCATTCCACTTCTTTTTCTATCTGTACGTTTCCTATGATAGCCGCAGGCTACTGCAGGGTGCTGCGTAACATTGCTCCCTCCTCTCTAGTTATTCGCCCCGAATAACTTGATTACTGGAATCTGGTTGGAGCCAACGGGGAGGATCTGAACCACGGTATGGCGCTAACTTCTCAATGTGAACTACCTTGGGTTTACTTCTCGCTGACAACTAAATGCGGTAGATCAGGTCGTTGATTTTCTTAAGGACGGTGTAGGGGCCTTCCCAGTTCCGTTGCAGCTTCTGACAAAGTCCTTTTCGGCGCTTGGGATTGTACAGCCATACTGGATCGTCTCTCTCAAAATGTGTCCCTGTGGCATGCATGTCGATTCTAGCTTTTGCTTTATCGATATTAACTTTCAAACGTTGACGAGCGAATTCGTATACCTTCTCCAATCTTTCTTTTAAGTTCTGTATGTACGTGGGAGGAGTACGCTTTTCTTCTTCACCAGGAGGCTGCCTTCCAAAAAGAAGATCATGGGGAAGTTTCATCTCCCTGCCGGTGATCATCATGGATGGGGTATAACTGGTCGTTTTATGTTCAGAACTTCAGTAGGCTAGCAGAAATAGAGGAATTAAAGTGTCCCAATCCTTTTGATTATCAGAGACAAACATTGAAAGATACTGGCATATCGTTCTCTTGTGTCTTTCTACCATTCCGTCGGACTGTGGGTGGAGAGGCGTAGTGCGTGTTTTCTTGATGTCTAACAGTTTCATTAATTCTTGCCATAATTCGGATTCAAAATTTCGTCCTTGGTCGGAATGTAATTCCAGGGGGACTTCGTGTCTCGCAATGACGTTCGTCATAAATGCTTCCGCTACTGTCATCGCTTCCTGATTAGGAATAGGCACTATTTCGGGCCACTTTGAAAAATAGTCCATAACAACCATCAAGTATTTGTTTCCCCTTTCTGTTAAGGGAAGTGATCCGAGGATATCAATGGCGATTCGTTCGAAAGGCTCTCCGGAAAGGTACTGTGCCATTTTACCTCTACTTCTTGTTTTGGGCCCTTCTCTGCCATTACAGAGGTCACATTTCTTACACCAATCTTCTACATCCCGTCGGCAATTGACCCAATAAAATCTTACTCGAACTCGTGCAAGTGTCCTTTTAGTACCAACGTGTCCTCCTGAACGGCTGCTATGAAGCTTCTCCAATACATTTCTGACCTGTGGTTTTGGCAGAATCACTTGGCGGACTACATGTACTCCATCGGGGCTCTCCCACTTCTGGTGCAATAGGCCATCGTGAAGATATAGGGAATCCCACTGAGTCTAGTACCCTTCCAGTTCCGCTATATTTGGCTATCTCTTGCCATGTAGGTCTAACTCCATTTTTGAGCCATTCTCGGACAACCCTCAAGTTATTGTCTTTCTTTTGAGTTCTTCTTAGGCTTTCACGGCTGATTCCATCTTCGTCATCCTCTGGCTTGATAGTGGTCGCCTGTAGACTAACTTCTTCAACCAGCTCCTCGCGTTCTTCAAGCCTTTTACAGTACCGGCATTGTCGTTCTAAACAGGGTCGCCCCCTTCGATGCGTTATCTCAAAGTTATATTGTTGCAGTCTTTCTATCCATCTAGCAACTTGTCCCTCAGGTTTTTTAAAATTCATCAGCCACTATGGTCACTTCTAATGATAAAACTTCTGTTAAAAAGGTAAGTATGGAAGTGATCAAGGGCTTTGACAATAGCTAATAGTTCTTTCCTGGTGACGCAATAATTCTTCTCAGCATTTCCCAAGGTCTTACTAAAGTAAGCGATTACTTTCTCTTGCCCCTCTTGTTCTTGGGATAGCACGGCGCCCAAGCCGTGTTGGAATGCATCACAGTCCAAAATAAATTGTCCTTGTTCTCGAGGATAGGCTAGGATGGGTGCTGTGTTCAAACGCTTTTCAAACTCGGTAAAAACATTTTGGCACTCCGGTGTCCAGTCAAATAGACTACTGTTTTCAATTAGTTGATGAAGAGGTTTAGCAATTCGGCCAAAGTCTTTGACAAATTTCCGGTAATACAGTCCAAGAAAACTGCTAATTTCTCTTTTATCTCTTGGTTTAGGCCAATCTTTGATAGCGATAATTTTCTCCGGATCAGTTTTGATTCCTTCCGCAGAAACGATGTGTCCCAAATAGTAAGCTTCCGATTGGAATAGTGAACATTTATTGTGATTAAGCTTTAGATTGGTATTTCTTAATCTGTCAAATACTTCACTCAAATTTGTTAGATGTTCATCAAAAGTTTTTGACATAATCATTATGTCATCGAGATACACTAGACAAGTTTTACAGGTTAATCCTTTCAAAACCATCTCCATTAGACGTTCAAAGGTAGCTGGGGCATTACAGAGACCAAACGGGAGAACCTGGAATCTGTATAATCCGCTACCAGTTGAAAAAGCAGTTTTGTCTCGATCGTCAGGATGTACTTCTACTTACCAGTATCCACTCTTCAAGTCTAGCGTGAAAAACCATTTTGCACCTGATAGAGTGTTTAGTGTGTCGTCTATTCGGGGGAGTGGATAGCTGTCTTTCTGTGTTATCTGATTTAATCTTCTATAGTCTACACAGAAACGAGTAGATCCGTCTTTCTTAGTTACTAGGACCACAGGTGAGCACCAGGGACCAGAAGCTTCTTCAATGATATTTGCAGTCATCATGTCCTGTATCATATTTGCTACTTCTTTTTGTTTAGCAAATGGTGTCCTGTATCATATTTGCTACTTCTTTTTGTTTAGCAAATGGAAGTCTTCGAGGTGCTTGTCGTACTGGCCTTGCATCGCCTGTATAAATTCTATGCTGAATAAGACTGGTACGCCCCGTAGATTTTCCTGTCTAGAAAATGTCACAGTTGGTATAGATGAATTCTTTGACTTTTCTAAGTTAAGTTCTTCAGCTGTCAGGTGGTCATTATTTTTAACTAGCTGTTTTACGAAGCTGGCGTCAACTGAGTTACTTGTGGTGGCTTTCCCAGTGGAACGATCTTCGCACTTGATTATGTTTTCCACCGGTGTACAGAGTCCTATTTCTTGTCCTTTCTTCAGTTTAAATGGTCTCTTCGATAAATTGGCAACCCTTACTGGAATTAGTTTATCAACGTTAACAAGACATCTAGCTACCAGAATGATTCCAATACTTTTCTTATATCTGTATACAGATAGAAAATTAAAAATTGATACAAGGAAGTTAAGTCAAAGTACGTTAATAAAAATAACGGGTACGTAATAACATGATATAATTAATTTAAGACGTACCAAAATCTAATAACGTTTTGTTTCATCCATTTTACATTTAAACAATAAAGAAAGCGGATGGACTTTAATTCTTTTTTCTGTCGTCTATCATCGGCTATTTTCACGATAAAAAGTATTAAAAATACCCATCAAGTTTAGCAATTCAGAGCTCGGGGTCTATCTGGATGGTCTAATATATCATTTATTGAAATATTTGCTGGAGATGTAATCAAGTCACACTAGGTCGAATGGTACTAAATTATACCACACTATTTTGAATTACAATAATTAAAATGTTCAAGCTTATGCTAGTATTTTTTTTATTCTATTAATGTATTTGTAAACTTTTGTTTTTTACTTTTATTTCAACTATGTTAAAATGTAAATTGTTTACCTTCTTTGTATAGTACTTGTGTAGCTGCGTTTGCTGACCGTTTCTTCTCCAGAGACACAGCACCTTATTTTTTGGACTGTAAGTCATGTTCACTAGCCTTTCGAACCACCATCTCTCCACAATTACCCCGGTTACCGATCGTAAAACTAATCCATCATCCCTGACCTCCATAAACCTAGAATAATAGAAAAAATGTTACTAGAGATCTATACGCTTGAGTTGGTTCTGTGAAAATTAAATATATTACGATTCATATAACAGTAGTTTCTATCTTAAGAAAGCATCAAACAAGAGAAAATTATTACCAAATATTAGTATTTTTAAGTGGACGTGGCTAGAAAAAAACGGACTGAGCGTTCTGCAGACAAACGGTTAGAGCTTCAAGATCAAACGGAACACGAGTGTCTCACGTGAGATCTCATTTCCTACTGCTTACATAGTAATGGTTGTGCTCCACCTGATTGAGCCGTGGATTTCGTTCAAAGTAGACCTTATATCTGCGCTGCATCAGAAATATGTTTCTATATCCAAGGAAGGCAATGTATCAATGTAAAATTTCTTGTAAAACTCAGAAAATCCGCCCCCGAAACGTATGTATTATTGAACAACAATATGGAGATGCTTATTTATCACGCACTCAGGTTTTTGAGTGATTAACGAAGAAGGAGAAAGTAATCGCTGACGATTCGTGTCCCAGACGATCTTGTACCTCAAAAGTAGACACAAATATTGAAAAGATCGGTGCTTTGAACCGAAAAAAGCGTCGGTTAAGTATTTTTACTGTTGTTGAATCCGTAAGAATCAAAAATTGCTCCTTTCTGTCTAGAGGTTTTTACCCAAGTATTTGGACACCTGTTTGAGAACATCTAACCCTTATCGCCGGATCTAGACTCATGTGTTTGTTTATTACCCAATGCCAAATTAGCATTGAAAGGAGTCATATTTGAGACAGTAGAGCTGTTAATGAAAAACCAGCGAGGACCATGAACGTGCTTGAGAAAAATAATTAACAACACTGCTACGACAAATTTAAAATTTACATGGAGCTGCAGTATATTAAAGGTGATAATGTTAAAATTGTGAAAGAAAAGCAATAAACGATTGTATAGCTTTAACTTGGTTTTTTTTTTTAGTCATACCTCGTACACCTACTCAAATATTCGCACATCATATTTTAAATTTTAATTCTGAAATTTTATTTTAAATAAAATTCAATGAATTTGCAGAACTATTTTCACCAAGCTGAAATTCGTACACTCATGATTTGTTAAATAAATATATTAATCTAAGAAATAAAAATGTTTCTCGTCAGACATAATATATCTAAATTTTTCTATATATTATATTAATAAAAATCAAAAATATTTATAAACATTTTATATGTAAGTAATAATCTTAAAATGTACCTTAAATCACCTGCGCAGTCGACTCCTTGATGTACAGTAAAACTTTGCCGATGAAGAAGTCTGGACCCTAGAGGCTTTAGGTCAATATCGTTACCATTCTAAAAGAAAATATTAATTTATTACCCAAATAATTTATCACATTTTAATTGACAAATATGCTTACCAAATGTTGAATTTGATCCAATAACTGATTAACCTCTTGGCTGTAGACCAATCCTATATGGCTCTTTCCCAACAACCTTCTGATTTTCCTTTTGAGCTCCTCTTTGTTACAATTGAGCATAACCAAAATTGCCGTCAAATTAAATAATTGTGTGGCCAGTAATTTGTCTTCTTCGTGTTCTAAGCGCTTCCTCTCTGTATCGCTCAAACTTTTGTACCTTTCCATCATTTCTCGAGGGCCCTAAAGAAAATATACTAATTTTTCATTTACCACTTACCAATCGAATACACTATCTAACAGTGAGTAAAAGAATTTCGTTAGATGTAGGAGATGCAAAGAATTTTATGGTTACCCTTATGGGTCAAAGAGGGTAGGTGACAAAGAACATGTCAGAATAAGTGGCACAAAGTAGCTTGTATGATGTGTGACCAGTAATGTATGGGTAGAATGGATTTCCTAAATGAATGGAAGGGGTAGAGCTTCCAGTGAAGTAATAAACGTGTGGGACTTCAGTGTCGCCATGCGAACCTCAGAGGAGGGATAGCAGACTGGAACCCAAGCCTGAATAGGGGAGCCTGTCGAAACCTCTCAGTGGGTAAGACTAGGGATGTCTAAGGTGGTATAAAACAGTGGCGCGTATCTTACAGCAAGATATAGTTTGTGTGTATGGGTTAACAATAACAAATTTTTGACGAATTTGAGTTCATAATGGAGAAAGAGATAAAGATAAAATTACAAAATTGCGTAATGATAATAAATGTTACCTGGTCCATTCCAATCATGTCACGTTCTTGTGAAACAGCGTCCAAGAAGGCATCTTCCCAAAACTGCATTTGATCAAACAGTGGCGATCTATCTTTACCAATCAGACCCTCAAAAAGATAGTTTCTTATACCGTCAGGACTTGGTGAAGTCACTGTATTAATTATATTTCCACCGTGGTACCTGAAGCCGGTACTAAGTGAGGATTTACTCGACCAAACGCTGGACGTTCGCTGTTTCGGTAATTTTGGAAACTGAAAAATATTTTATAAATAAATAATAAATATACTTGTAAACTTTATCTATATGATTATTGAATAAAATATTTATTATACTTATGTATTTTAGGTTATTATAGCATATGCAATACTTTCTTAATTCTTCACTCATAATTAGCTGTGCAAAACTTACCCCCGAAATTAAAAAAAAAAATTTAAAGCGTGATGCATTTGACCACCGATTTACCATATTTGACCATCCGGTAAGTTTTTTTACTACTCTTAGAAAAAAAATTAAAAGATATTTAAAGGGTCTGGTGCTCATTAACCCTCAAAGTTATTAATTTTTAAAATTGCATGTACCCTAAGATTACAAGCTGGTAAAGTATCGTGAACACAAGTTTTGGATCGAACTTCAATTTGGAAAAAATGGTCAGTCGACAGGAGACCACACTAAAGACCGAGAGAGGCTTATAATTTGATTCAACGTTTGACCATCTCCTACAATAATTTTAAGGACTTCAAAGTGTGTGAAAATTCGATTAATACCATTTCAAAATCGAATTTCGACTTGGAAAAAAATAGTCATTCGTCAAGAGGATACATTAAAGATAAAAACAAATGTGTAATTCTGTTTCGACTTTTGATCACCATTTAAAATAATTTTGAGCACCACAAAGTGGGCTGAAATTTAAAAATACAATTTTAAAATCGAACTTCGGCTTGTAAAAAAAAAATGTCATGAGGGAGGCGCAATAAAGATTCCCAACAGTTTGTTATTATGTTTTTACGTTTGACCACTCGCTAAAATAATTAAAAGAAGCACAAAGTGTGAAATTTAGAAAAATACAATTTTCAAAACAAATGAATAGTCGTCAAAAGAAGAAATAATTCTAAGCATTATAATTCAAGAAAAAGGTGAATTTATTTATATACCAGCGAAGAGGACTTCGGAAAGGAAGAAATATTAGCCGACTTCATGAAAGACAGCAGAGCATTTTAAAGCTACCATTTCGAGACAGAGACCGACTTCAAAATGCGATGCGACACCGAGAGAGACCAAAAATGGTCTCTTCGCGTCTGAACACATCTAATTATATGAAACACATTTCAGTAGACGCGACCGACGCGCGACGACAGCAGATATAGTATGGAAATATTTGCCGCCTTACTGCTGTCTCGGTCTCGGGTAACTTGTCGCGCGTTCCCAATGTTACCTTAATAATTACGATCTTCACATCATAATTTGTTTTTGGTAAAAAGGGTAAATATAGATTTGGTAGATAAACAGATTCTGTACCATTCTTTTACGATTTATTTCCTTACTTCCCCTTCCCACACTGCAAGTAGATATTGTCCTATTGTTCAATTACTACATTAATTTATTTTTTTCTATCGACGTGTCGATTGACCATTTTTTCCACGTTGAAATTCAATTTGGAAATTGTATATTTAGAATTTTTAATTTTTGGAATTCTTATAATTAGTTTAGGAATTGGCCAATACTCGAAACATAATTCTAAACCATTTTGAATTTTTATTGTTCCCTTCTAACGATTGTTTAATTTTTTCCAAGTCAAAATTAGATTTGGAAATCATTCTTTTTTATTTATCGTTATCTCTGGGGTCTTCAGAATTATCTTAAGAGGGTGGTCAAACGTCTAGACATAATTCCAAACCATATTGGATATGTATTTTGCCCTCATAACATTTGTTCAGTTTTCCAAGTTAAAAATAGATTTGGAAGTTATTGTTTTTTTAATTTCCACCCTCTCTGTGGCTTTTATAATAATCTTAGAGGGTGGTCAAACGTCTATACATAATTCTAATTCTGGATATTACGTCTGCCAATTTGACGATAGACCATTTTTTAACTAAGTTGAAATTCGACCTAGAACTCGTAATTTTCGATAATTATTATATTGGGTGCCTAAAAAATTGAATAGGTGGTTCAACATGGACAAAAGTTGATCAATCATATACATTTGTACAAACAGTTCTAAAAAATATTATCTTCGAGAGGCCAGCGGGCAGTCGGCCTTTATTTTTTTTATATTTTTATTTCTGATTGTGGTCAAAAAAGTTACTGGGTTGTTAAACATAGTCAATCTGTAATTAAACGCATCCAGCTTTTAAAACTAAAATTTTTGAATTTTTGAAAGGTTTCATACAGCTCTCATAAGTGAATCATTGAAATTGCTTCTTAAAAATGTATTACATTTGATGAAAGAAATTTCTTCTATTTTGACTAACTACGTTTGACAAAACATTAAATAATGGTGCTTAGTTTTACTGACATCCGACAACTGACAACTGACATTTGACAAAAACAAATAACAAGCGTACTCACCTGCAGCGTTTCAACTTCTGTATCGGATACAGTCGACCGGAAAGAGGACTGATTACCACCCCTATTGAGACTACAGGCAGGCCCCATAGTTATGGACCCCGCTGATGGAGAGAGAGTGCCCCCAGAGCCATGCACAGTACTTTCACCCTGTCACAACAATACAAGCACATATACGAGTTGATCCGTACAAAAAATACATAACGAATCAAAAATAGTGACTGATTTGAAAGAAAATAGTTCAGCAATCCATAAATAGCGCTACTACCTGGTTGAATATTGAAAATGTTATCCATATCGAAAACAAAAAGTAGTTTTTTTATTTAATAAAATAATAATTTAAATGTTTATTATCATTTTTGTTTCAATTTACCAAAAAACATTTTTACTACAAGGTCACTACGTATGACTCACTCTGTATTATGTGATGCACACACAACAATAATCAAAAACCTTCATTCATGTCACAAATTTTTAAACATATAACAAATAAAAATTCACGAACATTTACTTTTAATTTTTTTGAAATAAAAATTGTTTGGAAATAGTTGATAATACTTAAAAATTTGTCTAACTGGATCGAAATGCTACTGGAAAAGTATGAGTATTGCTTTGTAATATATGGTAGGTAACAAATGATGTAATTGTTTAGAAATTTTGGATAAAGATGAAAAATATTGCTCGAAAATCGCTTTAAAATTGTTTGAAAATTGTATGAAAATTTCTTGAAATTTTTTTGAAAAACTCTAGAAAATTACTTGAAACTTGCTTGAAAATTGCTGTAAAATAGCTTTAAAATTGCTTAAAGATGGTTTGAAAACAATTAAAACTATTTAGGTACTTAGATACTTTGTAATGATTGGAAAATATTTGGAGTTGCTTGTAAACGATTTGGAAATACTTATAAATGATTTGAAAATACTCATAAATGATTTGTACATACTCATAAATGTTTTAAAAATACTCATTATTATTTGTAATTGGCTAGAATTTCTTATAATAGTATAATAGTATAACAGGAAATATTTCCAAAAACTATATTATCGTTGAAAATGCAATATAAAAGTGAGAAATAATTATACTTGATAAATATTTCAAAATACTTTTAAAAAATACTTGAAAATACTTGAAAATACTTAAAAATACTTGAAAATACTTGAAAATACTTGAAAATACTTGAAAATACTTGAAAATACTTGAAAATACTTGAAAATACTTGAAAATACTTGAAAATGCTTGAAAATACTTGAAAATACTTGAAAATACTTGAAAATACTTGAAAATACTTGAAAATACTTTAAAATACTTGAAAATACTTGAAAATACTTGAAAATACTTGAAAATACTTGAAAATACTTGAAAATACTTGAAAATACTTGAAAATACTTGAAAATACTTGAAACTACTTGAAAATACTTAAAAAATGCTTGAAAATACTTGACAATACTTGACAATATTTGACAATACTTGAAAATACTTGAAACTACTTGAAAATACTTGAAAATACTTGAAATGCTTTAAAATACTTGAAAATGCTTGAAAATGCGTGAAAATGTTTAAAAATACTTGAAAATACTTTAAAATACTTTAAAATACTTTAAAATACTTTAAAATACTTTAAAATACTTTAAAATACTTTAAAATACTTTAAAATACTTTAAAATACTTTAATGTACTTGAAAATACTTAAAAATACTTGACAAAAACTTTAAAAAACATTAAAAAACTTTAAAAAAACTTTAAAAAACTTTAAAAAAACTTTAAAAAACTTTAAAAAACTTTAAAAAACTTTAAAAAACTTTAAAAAACTCTAAAAAACTTTAAAAAACTTTAAAAAACTTTAAAAAAACTTTAAAAAACTTTAAAAAACTTTAAAAAACTTTAAAAAACTTTAAAAAACTTTAAAAAACTTTAAAAAACTTTAAAAAACTTTAAAAAACTTTAAAAAACTTTAAAAAACTTTAAAAAACTTTAAAAAACTTTAAAAAACTTTAAAAAACTTTAAAAAACTTTAAAAAACTTTAAAAAACTTTAAAAAACTTTAAAAAACTTTAAAAAACTTTAAAAAACTTTAAAAAACTTTAAAAAACTTTAAAAAACTTTAAAAAACTTTAAAAAACTTTAAAAAACTTTAAAAAACTTTAAAAAACTTTAAAAAACTTTAAAAAACTTTAAAAAACTTTAAAAAACTTTAAAAAACTTTAAAAAACTTTAAAAAACTGTAAAAAACTTTAAAAACCTTTAAAAAACTTTAAACTACTTAAAACTACTTGAAACTACTTGAAAATAATTGAAAATGCTTGAAAATGCTCGAAAGTACTTGGAAATGCTTAGAAATACATGAAAATTCTTATATTTGCTTACATATATTTAGACATACATGGATATATTTGAAAATATTTAAAAACACATATTGAGACTAATTTAAAAAGGCATAGAGGCATAGTGAAAGATATAAAATCGAAAGGATAAATTCAAATATTTTTGCCATATAGCAAAAATATTTTATTTATATCTTTTACATGGAACAACTCCGAAAATAATATAATAAACACCGAAAACCCATGCCTTAAATTAGGAAAAAATTATACTTACATCAGAATCAAATGATGATAATTTACTTAGCAGCATATTTTTCTTCTGGGTTATCATATCTTTGAAGATATCTGTTGTAGACTGTTCTTTTTCTGGCTCAGCTTCCTGGATAAGTCGGACCTCTGGTGGATCTAAAAAAAATATATCGATCTATGACTATCACTTCATTTTTGGTGATATTGCTGTTCAATAGTAATTTCTCTGTTTACGTGTTGAGTGGCTGAAGAGAATGAAGGTAGTGTAGCCTCGCTTGAACTCTAGAGCTTCTGGAGGTGGTATTGGCATGCGAAGTCATAATAATTAAAAATACGAAAACAAAATTTACCTGCTTGAGACGATTTTCGAGAACTATCCCAGTCTGATGATTGTAACGAGTATCTAGGACTTGATGGTGATCTTGGACTGGATGCCTAAATGCAAACTAGTATTAGTACCAACATTTTTCCAATTAAATTTAAAAGTCTCACTTGAGTCATATCGGGACCAGCGTGTTCGTTTATATCCTTCGACCAATAGTGAGTGTGTGCAATTTCGAATAGTTGAAAAGCTGAAGCCATGCCTCCTAATCCGTAATTACTAAAAGTCACTTCCATTCCATGGACAATGGCTAGTAATACTTTGAGCATTCCTTTCCAGACAGGTTTTGGTATACACTGAAGAAAATGTCATTAATAAGAAAACGAAACACTAAATAAGGTAAAGTGTCCGAATTCCGTCCCCATTCCTAAATTCGTCCCCAGTCAGAATTTCATGTGCAATGTGGCAACGTTGCCAAAACGACAATCAACGCTTCAGAACCATCCAGTTGACAGCACTGACGTTGATAGGGCTGATCTGTTCTATTTATTTGCTGTTATATTGTGAAAAATAAATATAACAACAGTGTGCTATAGTATCAAGTGAAGTTCAAACAACTATATTGATGCCATAAGGTAAGTTTTTCATGATTTACCATTGATAATAATAAAGTGCTACTGGAATAAAGTGCACCAGTTGCCACAGCCTTGTAGTCGTAGTCGTTTGGTCAGGAGCAGTCGCCATTTTTATTGTAACTAGAATCCTAAAACCGCCCCCCCTGGTTCTCAAATTCATCCGGGGACGAATTTAGGACCCCTCATAATTTTTTCTGCGGTATATTTAGTTTCTTACTCACCTCTTAGGAAGATTAGTTTCTATGGAACTTTTCGTCCTTTTTAACCGACTAAAAAAGGAGGATGTTATCAAACTGAATCTTTCCAGATGCCACCCCGCAAAAGATGGGATTCTGATGCCATGGTGAATGCTATTGCTGCGGTGCGGAACAAGGAGATGGGGTATAAAGTAGCTGCAAAGGCTTATGCTGTCCCGAGGTCTACCTTGAAGGACTACGTCAAATCTGCTCTCTCACCTGAGGAATGTATGAGCTTGAAATATGGAAGAAGGCCAGTTTTTTCCGCTAAGCTTGAGAAAGAACTTGTTGAATACTGTCTGGATATGGAGCAACATTATCATGGACTAACTATTTCTGACCTAAGACGCTAAAAACCAAGTTCCTAATCCTTTCTCGCCTGAAGCAAAGGCAGCTGGCAAAAAGTGGGTAAGACTATTTTTTAAGCGCCACCCAGAACTATCGCTTAGACGACCACAGAACCTGTCAATGGCCAGAGCAAAAGGATTCACAAAAGAAAATGTTGAGAAATATTTTTCGATCCTGAGGACTGAACTTAAAAAAATTAACTTTGACCCCGCAAAAACATTCAATGTAGATGAAACAGGGATATCTGTGTTACAGCACAAGGCTACTAGAGTTGTTACTTGCAAGGGAAAAAAAACAGGTTCACAGACTTGCATCTGCTGAACGTGGGGCCACAATTACAGTGATAACCTGTATGTCAGCTACAGGTCAATACTACTAATATTTCCACAGAAGAGGTGGCAAGCAGAACTGCTTGACGGAGCACCACCAGGGTCAATAGGGGCATGCTCGGATTCAGGTTGGGTCACTGGTCCATTGTTTCTCAAGTGGTTTGAACATTTCATTTCCACTGTCAAGCCTCGAAAAGAGAAGCCGGTAGTGCTCATCCTTGATGGGTACTACTCCCACACTAGAAATCTAGAGGTTATTAACCGCGCAAGAGAGGCAGGAGTATCCATAGTTTGCCTTCCTCCTCACTCAACAGATAAGCTGCAGCCTTTGGACGTAGCATTTATGTTTCCTCTAAAGACTCGATATGCAAAGGCTATAGAAAATTGGATGGCCTCTAATCCAAACAGAATTGTTAGGAAACTAAAAGTATCTGGATTATTAGGTGAAGCATACCTTCGTGCTGCTACCCTTGAAACTGCAGTCAATGGATTCTGGAAAACTGGAATTCATCCTTTTAATCCAGAGATTTTCCAAGAGCACGATTTCATAGCTAGACAACTTGAAGAAGAGCCAGAGGTGTCTGATAATGGAGAAAACGAGGATATCCAGAATGCTCCAGCTCCACCTCAAGTGGTCAGTCCAAAAGACATTGTGCCAGTTCCAGTAATCCAGCCTTCTACATCTTCTGGAGCAGGAACCTCGTTCTTGGTAACAGGAAGTGACCATAAATCGTCTGTAAAATTCTCAATGGAAAAGAAACAAATGGAGGAACAGCGTAAGAAGAACCAATCCCAGTCAACTGTGAAGAAACGTCTTACCATTGAAGGTGGAGATCAGCTAGCAACATCATCAAAGAAACCTACCAAAAAGAAAACGAAGAAATATGACTTGAGTTCAAGTGACTCTGAGGATGAAACACAGTCAATTGTGAAGAAACGTCTCATTATTGAAGATGAAGATCAGCCTGCAACATCATCGAAGAAACCTATCGAAAAGAAAACCAAGAAATATGACTTGAGTTCAAGTGACTCTGAGGATGAAGCAGAGGTTCCACTAGTATCCACCGATGACGAGGACAGTTCAAACGACGAAGATGTGTCATGTCCTATCTGTGGGAGGCGTTTTTCTCAAGACAAACGAGGAGAGAGATGGATAAAGTGTTATAAATGTCTCAAGTGGAACCACGAGTTGTATTCATCCTCAACAACAGTCAAAAAATTTGTTTGTGATTTTTGCCTGGATGGGTAAATACGTAGATGGAAGGTACACTCAAGTATTAAAATGTAAGCTTAAACATATTTTCATTTGACTAAATATATTATAAGGTTTCACATGGTTTTAATTAGATTTGCACTGAAAAGAAATAAGTAGATAGGAGGGGCGGAATTAGGGCATCTTTTTGCAAATCCAAATTTTGTGAATTATTGCGTTTTTTTTTTATTTTTCGTTCAAAAATATTTATTGAGTAGAACCGCACTAGCAGAGCTACTAGACATTAAGTTGAGTTGCCCGACTCAGTTTTTATTTATTTTTAACTCTTAACAAATTTTTGAAAATAACGATTTTTGTTAGGGGGACGATAAATGGGCACTTTACCTTAATCGCATACAAAGACAAATACTCACTACATCATCAATGTGATCATCAGGTCCTATTCTCTTGTCTAGAGTTTTATTTATTTTACTTAACACAAAGTTCCTATAAGATTCATCTTCCATTAGCTTTTTTAACCTGTTAAGTTTGAGCCAACCAACACCTTCTCCTTCAAGGACACTAGTAACAACCTACAAGTTCCAAGATAAGTTAATATTGTAATAACTAAAATCGTTTTATTTCGTACATCTTTAAGAAAGGCCTGATTTTCGCTGTTAGTAGCGTTTTTGTCAGCAGCTTGTTTCCACTGTATATCATCCTGTCTTCTAGGCATGTGTTTTATCAAAGGACTCTTTTCTGCTAATCCCTTAGGGCCTCTATTAAATGGACCGAACATACTCTTCGTTGATTCTTTTGCTTTACCTCGCTGATCTGATCCTTCAACGGCTTTAGGATGTTCCTTTTTAGATCCAAATAGATTTGAAAACATGTTCGTTGTGGAGTCGGCTAAACCGTTGATGTCGGAACTGATATTCGAGAAAAAGTCTCGACTAGCACCGGTTAAGACGTTTGACGATGCCACTATTGCTGTACTATTTGAAGACATTTCTTGTTGTTTGCTAAATGAGTCAGCCTGAAAAATACAAACAAATACTGTGATAAATTGTTTTGGAATGTTTTAAATTCCTAACCCTTAGCAATCCCTTCTTGGTTACAACTTCTTTGGCACTTTTGGTCAAATCACCTAAAGTAGATTTTCCCACGTAAGTTAAATCGTCTAGAGTAGTTTTGCTCATAGCTGTAGCTGTTTTACTAGCTTCTATAGCGCTCTTTCCTGCTACTTGTACACTTTTGGTCGCCTCCCCAGCTGCTTTCTTTGCCTGCGATGTCAACTGAAAGAAAAATTATATTAACGAAGTTATTCGTAAATAAATAGGAAATAGGCAAAGAAGTGTTGAAGCAATTCAGCTACTAACTAACCTTATCGAATGGGGCAAATAAACTGCTTTCTTCAGCTTCTGTTATTTTTTCTTTGGCTTGTATTTTAAACTGTAAAATATGTGTGTTAGTGTCGAATATATGAAATGTGTAGTGATGAAATGTAATGAACTAAAAAGTGATCTTCGCCTATAAAGTTGAGATATAAAAACAAGAAGTAGGTATATGATCAGTTTCGAGTTGGAACTTGCAATTTAATCTCAACTTTACCTTATCCATTTGAGCTAGAAGGCCATCTTGGCTGCTCTGTCTAGTAGTTTCTCTTACAAGTTCTTTAGCTTGAGAAGTAAACTGTTCGAATAAAGATCCCTGAGAACTTTGCCTCGTGAACCCACTACCAGCTGAAAGAGGTGGAACAGGACTGGAGTTTCCTGAAGAACTAAAACTCGATGTCCTAGCAAGAACATTGCCAACGCTTGGTTGTTTTTGTAACATAGGAGCTATTGGAGGAACCTGTGAATAGACACAGAGGATCGGTCGTGATATACAGGGTGGGCCACTTAAAAGTTTGTTATTAATTGATATATAGAAATTATTTTTTTTTTGTTTGAAAGCTTGGGGTAAGAACTTTATTATAACGTATTCAAATATTCTGTGACGTCATGGCGTACGTCCGGTTTTTCCGGAAATAAGAGTAAATCGCAATTTACTTTTTATTTTTAAATAAAAATACCAATTTTTTATTAAAAATTTTTATTTATTAAACATTTTTAGATAAGAACTGTTTATTAAAAATATTCTGTCAGCTGTCAAAATAGCTGCCATATTGGATAATACCATTTCTACATTTTTTACTAATAACTCGTTTAAGGCCGAATATATTGTAATGAATTACCTTTAAAAACTCTTTGTTAAGCCTTAGTCTTCCCGTCGAGACTAACCCAAATTACACCAGTGGCGTATCCAAACATTTTTGTTATTGGTAAACCTCTTAAAAATTCTAACCGCTCTTATCTTATTCATTATTTAAGATATCAAATTGATTTTATTTTAGTTTGAAAGCTTAGAACAAGAACTTTGTTATGACTATCAAGCTATTATGTGACGTCATGATTTACTTCCGATTTTTTCGGAACTAACAGTAAATTGCAATTTATTTTTTATTTTTAAATAAAATTTATTTAAAATTATTGAACATTTATAGATAGGAATCTTTTATTAAAAATATTCTGTCAGCTTTCAAAATGGCCGCTGTATTGAATAAAATCATTTCTAAATGTGTTACTAATAACTCGTTGAAGGAAGAAAGTATTTAAAACTCTTTGTTAGCCTCAGTGTTACCATTGCGACTCAAATTACTCCAGTGGCGAATCTAAGCATTTTTACATTGGTTAACCAATTTAAAATTAATATTAGTTATTGTTTTAGATATAGAAATTATTTTGGTATTTTTTGTTTGAGAGCTGGGAACAGAAAATTTATTATAACGGGTTCAATTAGTCTGTGATGTCATGGCTTGCTTCCTTTTTTTTTTTTTTTTTTAAATAACAGTAAATCGCAATAAATGTAAAATTTTTAAATATATACCCGTTTTAATTTTATTTACAAGAATCGTGTATTCAAAACTTGTTATTAAAAAAAATTAAAAAGGGTATTAAACCGATAATATAATTATTAAATAAAAATGACAAGGGAACAATATAACCAAAGAAAACTAGTATTTTACCACAAATTATTATAAAACAAAACAACAGTAACAAATTCCTTAATTTTTAGATATTATTTTCAAAATGACCTCCTTTATTTAGAGGTGTTTGTCGTTTTCCGCAGCATGGCTGGAGGTACTGCCGCACATTGATTTACAAATATCTGTTCAGCAACTTCTATAGTTAATGCTTCGTTATTTTTATACAATTTGTTTTTCAAATATTCCCATTAAAATAGTCAAGGGGCGTTAGGTCTGGTCTTCTTGCAGGCCATAAAAATGGACCTCTTGTGGCCAACCATTGGTCCCCAAACAATTAAGTTAATTTTGTATAAGCAGTAGTTGAATTATGAAGGTCTGCTCCTTCCTGCTGAAACCAAATTAAGTTTCTTCTTGGCACTGGTGGTGTGTTAAGAAATGGACTTACAACTCAATTAAGGATCTCGTCGACATACCTTCTTCCAGTTAGATTACCAGATTAGAATAGTTTAATTAGTACTGTAGGCCATGTGGTCTTCCCCACCTTGACCTTTTCAGATCTATTGTAGATATCCTTTATTCGTTGTTTAGAGTACCTTATCTAATTCAGTCTTTTGTAGTAGACTCCATAGACTAGGAAGTAGTTCTCTGGCGCAGCTATTTGCTCTTGTGTAAGGAATCTCAGTCTTGATAGACCTTTGCAGTAGCACAATACGTGTTCTACAGTTTCCTCCTCTTCCTGAAAGACCTAAGATAAGAGCGGGTGAAATTTTTAAAAACTTTACTCTTATAAACATGCTTAGATAAGCCACTGGTGTAATTTGAGTGAGTCTTAATGGGAACACTGAAGCTTACAAAGAGTTTTTAAAGGTAATGCACTCCGATATTTTTTCCTTTAACGAGTTATAAGTAACATATTTAGAAATGATATCCAATATGGCGGGCATTTTGAGAGCTGACAGAACATTTTTATTAAAAGATTCCTATCTAAAAATGTTTAATAAATTGAAATTTAAAATAAATATAGGGATTTTCATTTAAAAATAAAAATAAATTGCAATTTACTGTTATTTTCGGAAAAATCTTAAGTAAGCCATGACGTCACATAATAATTTAATCCTTCATAAAAAATTTCTTGTTCTAAGCTGTTAAATAAAAAAAATAATTTGCTATATCAAATAATGACTAAGATAAGAGCGGTTGGAATTTTTAAGAGGCTTACCAATAATAAAAATGTTTAGAAACGCCACTGGTATAATTTGGGTTAATCTCAACGGGAACACTGAGGCTTACAAATAGTTCTTAAAGGTAATTAATTTCAATATATTCTTCCTTAAACGAGATATTAGTAAAATATTTAGAAATAGTATTATCCAATATGGTGGCCATTTTGTTAGCTGACAGAATATTTTCAATAAACGGTTCTTATCCAAAAATGTTTAATAAATTAAAATTCTCAATAAAAAATTGGTATTTTTATTTAAAAATAAATTGTGATTTACTGTTATTTCCGGATAAACCAGAAATACGCCATGACGTCACGGAATAATTGAATACGTTATAATAAAGTTGCTACTCCAAGCTTTTAAACACAGAAAGAATAATTTTGATATCTCAATTAATAACAAAGGAATTTTTAAGTGGCCAACCCTGTACAGTAGACGTGAATTACATCAAAATATTCGTAAATATAAAGTTATAGTTTGATCCTAGATTAAGTTTTTTCTGATCCAAAGGTTTTTAGTAAGGCACTCATCATCACCTTGCCCTGTTCTGTGCCATTTGAATCTCAATTCCCTTTACCCTCATATCAAGATTAACAGGGTCCCACCATGTTTTCCTTGGCTTGCCTTTCTTATCCTGCAAACCTTTAATTTTTTAAGGAGTGTTATTTTCCTCTTTTGTTATTTATAAAAGTATTTCTAGGTTCTCAAGCATGCAGGAAGAGGTCCAAGGACTCCATTGAGTAAATTCTTCGAATTTTTTTAAGGAAGGTAATTTAAATAATGCTGATGCCTTGATATGATACGAATATGTCATGTGACAACAGGACAAGTAGGTAAACTGGACTGATTTTGTTTTTAGATTCTTTTATAATTGGTCAACGAAAATTGATCGATACTAGATATTGAATAATGATTCTTTGCACAATTTAAAAACATATTTTAGTTTACACCATAGGTATCAGTTGAAAATCTTGTTATTTCGGTGTTGAAGACAGTGCTGTAGTGGTAAATACAAACGTTGAACATGGAAGTTGAAAAAAAGAAAGAAAGAAAGAAAGAAAGAGGGAAAAAGAGAGAAATATAAATTTTAGCTGGGTGGTTAAAGTCAGAGAGTAGGGTGGTTAAAGTGAAAGAGTGGCAAAATAAGTTATATATACATAAATTAAAGTAAATATTATATAGTACAGATATTAGTCCAGCATTAATATACAGGTCTCATAATATCGGGTAGTGAAGAAAGGTGGAAAGAAGAACATCCCATTAAAAAACAGAGTTGCATGTTACAAAAGTAAACAAAAATCAAGAGAACAAGTACGTACAGCATCTCAGGAAACTTTGTACCTATCTAGATATGTTTACAGATGTAGTAATTTTATGAGACACTGTATGGTCGAGTTAAAATAATCTCCAGCGATGCCCAAATTTCAAACTGAATTTAGGAAGCAATTAAAATGGTAAATAGTATACAATCCAATTTGCAGCACAAAAGGGCGGCTCCGACAACATTATACCAATGCCTTGATGGGTTTTGGGATACAATAGCACTAATTCGGCATCCTTGAAAATTGAATACCAAAATTAAAGGTCTAAAAAACTCTAAATAGTTCAACTTTTAGCTTTCCCAGCAGTCAACAACCTAGGACAGCAATTTGAATCCCTAAAAAGCACATCCACTCGCCCATCTTTCCAAGATTTTACTGCGATTGGGCTAAAATACACCACCAAGTGAGAAGAAACTGTTAATCCTGGCATTCCTAGACCTCTCCTCCAATGCAACCACGTTACCACCTAGAAATAAGAACTAAAAGTTTGAGCTGATAATAGGTTGCAACGCAAATGCTTATTACTTCAGCTGAGATAAGGATAATAACATCTAGAGGTAAGTCACTTTATAATTGTATTATTTCTAAAAATCTTTTAATTTTAAACAAAAGCGACCATCGTTTTTTCGATTTATGGCCTAGGTGTATGTACTAATATACCAGTCTCAGTTTGTGTTTAAATTCTCAATCAGGCTTTGTTACTGCTTCCCAGCATCACTTCAGGAACAGCAGTGTTAATTACTATCGCATTAAAACACATAGATAAAATCTCGGAAATACCCATTTCTTTATCGTTTAAATGTAAAATGGATGAAACTAAAAGTTACTAGATTTTGGCACGTCGTATATTAATTACATCATGTTATTATGTCAAGTGGCAGTTATCAAAACAATTTTGAATTTATAAATTTGTTAAAAATTTGTATATTTTGATATTTCAAAAGTTTTTATGGGTATACGCGGTACGTGGAACCAATTCCATGTTATAGTTGGACAAAACATAAAATGGTAAAATGGTTGCAGGAAAAGAACATTAATTATCCAACCAATGGTATGAAATATCAGATTTGGGAAGTTGTACGACAAAATCTACCACTAAATGAATTCCACCTAGATAGGTATCTTAAGAAATATGGGCATACAATTAATAACTCCTCCATATCACTGCAAATACAATGCGATAGAGATAGTGTACAGTGCAAACGCTTTTATGACGAAAAAATTTTTAACAACAAAGTCGTTACCGAAAGATGCGTTTAAGACTTGTCAGAAGCTTTGAAT